ATTAAAGAAAAAAAAAATACGGACCAATAATATTATATTTTTCAAGGACTTTCAGAAGAATAATCATGGATTTTTAAACAAATTTTTATAGACTTTTAGATCTCTTATTTTGGATTTTAAGAAACATGTTTTAAGGATTTTAACGCCAAAAATCGTGGGCCAAAAACTTTAGTTTTATTAAGGAACATGTTTCAAGGACATTCCGACCCATAATTGTGCTTTATTTAACAAATATTTTTCAAGGATATTCATAAATGTTTTAAGATTATTTTAAATGAACTATCGTGATTTTCTTGTAAATATAATATAAGAATATGTTTCAAGATCGTAATCCTGATTTTATTTTTTATACCCTACAACACTATGTGTTGGGGGTATTATAAGTTTGATTGGGCCAAAAATTATGTAACACCACGAAATATTGATTTCCCACATAGGAAAGTATATATGGATCTTCCTATCTCGCCGAGCTGAGTCGATCTAGCTATGTATGTCCGTCCGTCCGTCTGTCCGTCTGTCCATGTTAATTTGTAATCACTCTACAGGTCGCAATTATGGCCCGATCTTCACGAAATTTAGAATGGAGGTGGGGCTAGGGTCAGAATAGAACCCTATTTCTTTTGGAGATGATCGCCAAATGTTTAGGGGTTGAAATGGACCAAATACTGAAAAAATGTCGATTTTGCAGTAGCTATACAGGTCGCAAGTATAGACCAATCGACGCGGATTTTCGCATGTAGCTAGAGTTTAGGGCGGGGAAGAAGCCTACCAATTTGGGTGGTCATCGGATAATATTTAGCGGGTAAAATATGCCATATCTTTTTTGTTGAAAAAATTCAAATTTTTTCATTAAGCCGCGAATATTTTAAATCCCGACAAAATCAGAAAGCCATGAAAAGGTTTCTTCTGATCTTTACATTGATGTTAAGATCCAAAAAAAAAAAAATCAAAGAAGATATGCTTGAAAGATCTCATATATGTCGAGAACGGCTGAACTGATTTCGACAGTTCTCATTAATTCAGAATGGCCTCTTGGCAGGAAACAAAAAACGTCTAAAAAAAATCGCATAAAAATATCTCTCTAAAGATGAAAATATTGATTTTGTAAAATTTTCTCATATTTTTTCAATTTTGTCATATTTTTGGCATATTTTCATTTTGAATTAAACATTTGGTAATATTTCTACATGACATCAGAATATCATATACAGATCGCATTTATGGCCCGATCCTTACGAAATTTTGCATGGGGATAAGATGAGGGTCAGAATAGAAGCCTACTCTTTTTGGAAATGATCGCCATATATTTAGGGGTTGAAATGGACCAAAAAACTGCAAAATTGTCAGCTGTTCGTAATTATCGCCCGATCCTCAGGCACATTTGAATGGGGGTTACCGGACATTTCAAAAGCCAAGCAGTTTTGGATGGCCATCCAAAAATATTCAATGTGCGAAATAGTTTGCCAACTTTTGTAGACTAAATACGAAAATGTCCATTCCAGTGACTCTTTGGAGAATTCACAAATACAGGAAAGACGCATTTCTGACTATTTCGTTAACGCTGATTTCGTAAGAATATAGTCAAATGTCTGTATCTCATATAGATGCGTTACAGTCAAAAACCAATAATAAATGTTAATCTTTTGCCACTTCTGAGAGATTATAGGTCTTTGGGAAATATTGGTTCCAGATCTAGGAAGACCATTTACGTGCAACATTTACCAATAAATTGGAAATGAGCAAATTAGTTTAAGTTGCTGTTATCCGAAAATTAGAGAACGAAACCTGATGTCACAATATCTTGTGGAATTCTTTCGAGTATCTTGCCTATATAAACTGTATCGTTTATTATAGTGTTGTAGGGTATTCGACGGTCGGCCCCGCTCGACTGTAGCCTTTGCTTACTTGTTTTTTTTTTTGGTTTTGAAGTTACTTTTCATGAATTTTTTAGGAAATATTTCTAAGGACTAAGGAAAAAAATCAATTTTAACAGACCTTTCAACCAATAAATGTGGATTTTTAGGTACTTTCAGACGAATTACAGTCAATAGTTTCCAAGGACCTTCAGGCAATTAATTATGCATTCTTCCAAGGCCATCCAGAACTATAATCGACAATTTTTCAACTTAATCAATAATATTTTTCAGGGACTTTCAGGGATCAATAATATTTTTCATGGTCTTTCAGACTAATTTCGTGGATTTTTCAAGGATTTTTCAACGGATATATTTCAAGGACGTTCGGTGAATTTTATAGAATATTTTCAAGAACTTTTAGACCAATAATATATCATTATATTTTAAGTAATAATTAAATGTTTAATTTTAATTTTTTTATGAAATGGTTCATATGTTTCTGTTGAAATGCCTTTGAATATCACAAATTAATTCAACGATTTCACCAAGAATGAATTGCCATGTCATGTAATTAATATGATTGGCATATGAATTACCATTAATCCTCAGGAGAATGAAAGAAATACCATTTAAATTCAGATCGAAAAAAAAAACACAACAAAGACGATAAAAGAAGCCGTATATGTATGTAGGAAGAGATGTCAAAATTTTATAGGAATATTTCATTACGACAATTGATTTTCAACAAAATATTGAAAGGAAATGTATAGGTCTCGGGAAATGCCAGAGGAACGTTTTATAGAACCCACATACTCTCGCCCCACTGTTTTTAGAAAAATATTTGCCAATTTTTATACCCTACACCACAAGGTGGTCAGGGTATTATGTCTTTGTGCATTTGTTTGTAACAGGCAAAAGGAAACGAGATAGACCCATAGTTACTTTTGAGGATCTCCATAGAATCACATTCTGAGTCGATTTATGCATGTCCGTCCGTCCGTCCGTCCGTCTGTCCATGTATTTTTGTGAACAAAATGCAGGTCGCATTTATTATCCGATTAAGATGAAATTTTGCACAAAACATTTGCTTGGCCCAAGGACGAACCTTATTGAAATCGGAGATAATCGGTAAAAATTTAGATATAGCTCTCATATATATTTTCGTCCGGTTTGCCTTTTATTGTGCACCAAATGTGTAATATTAGCCCGAATAGTATGGAATTTTGCACATACAACCAAATTAGGCCTGAAAATAAGTATGCCAAATTTGATCGAAATCGGTTCAGATATAGCTATAGCTCCCATATCCATATTGTTCATCCGATTTGTTATTTTTGTCCTCCGCAGCCGTACTATGCACTCTCTAACAACAATATTTGGGGAAATATATCAAATACAGCTCAGAAATACATTTGCTAAATTTCATCGGGATCGGTTCAGATTTGGATATAGCTCCCATATATAACTTCGTCCGATTTAGCTTTTATTGTGCACCAAACGTCTAATATTTGTCCAAATGGGATGGAATTTGGCACTTACGACCGAATTGAGTCTAGAAGCTAGTATGTCAAATTTGGTTCAGATCGGTTCAGATATAGCTATAGCTCCCATTTATATTGTTCTTCCGATTTGTTATATTTGTCCTCCGCAGCCGTAATATGCACTCTGTAACAACAATATTTAGGGAAATATATCAAATACAGCTCAGAAACACATTTGCTAAATTTTATCGAGATCGGTTCAGATTTGGATATAGCTCCTATATATAACTTCGTCCGATTTACCTTTGATTGTGCACCAAACGTCTAATATTTGTCGAAATGGGATGGAATTTAGCACTTACGATCGAATTGAGTCTAGAAGCTAGTATGCCAAATTTAGTGAAGATCGGTTCAGATATAGCTATAGCTCCAATATATATCGTTCATCCGATTTGTTATATCTGTCACCCACAGCCGTAATATGCACTCCGTAACAACGATATTCAGGGAAATATATCAAATACAGCTCAGAAATATCTTTGCCAAATTTTATCAAGATCGGTTCAGATTTGGATATAGCTCCCATATATAACTTCGTCCGATTTACCTTTTATTGTGCACCAAACGTCTAATATTTGTCCAAATGGGATGGAATTTGGCACATACGATCAAATTGAATTTAGAAGCTAGTATGGCAAATTTGATCGAAATCGGTTCAGATTTGGATATATCTCCCATATATAACTTCGTCCGATTTACCTCTTATTGTGCACCAAACGTCTAATATTTGTCCAAATCGGATGGAATTTGACTCTTACGACCGAATTGAGTCTAGAAGCTAGTATGGTAAATTTGTCGAAGATCGGTTCAGATATAGCTATAGCTCCCATATCCATATTGTTCATCCGATTTGTTATGTTTGTCCTCCGCAGCCGTAATATGCACTCTGTACCAACAATATTTGGGGAAATATATCAAATACAGCTTAGAAATACATTTGCTAAATTTTATCGAGATCGGTTCCGATTTGGATATAGCTCCCATATATAACTTCGTCCGATTTGCCTTTTATTGTGCACCAAACGTCTAGTATTTGTCCAAATGGGATGGAATTTGGCTCTTACGACCGAATTGAGTCTAGAAGCTAGTATGGCAAATTTGTCGAAGATCGGTTCAGATATAGCTATAGCTCCCATATATATTGTTCATCCGATTTGTTATATTTGTTACCCACAGCCGTAATATGCACTCCGTAACAACGATATTCAGGGAAATATATGAAATACAGCTCAGAAATATCTTTGCCAAATTTTATCAAGATCGGTTCAGATTTGGATATAGCTCCCATATATATCTTTATCTGATTTCAAATTAATTTTGCACCAAATGGGCAATACAAGTCCGAATTTAAAAGATACAAATGCTCCGGCATATTTAGTCCTTTGAACTTTAAATAAAAATTATAATCATAGCGTGTGTGATTGAATTCTCCCCTAAAAACTTTTAATTGTTATGTGGAGCTCTACTAAATTAGCAAATTGGTGTAGGGTATCAAAAAGTCGGTCCCGCCCGACTTTAAGACTTTCTTTACTGGTTTTAAAAAAATATTTGCCAATTTTCTTTTTTCAAATAATTTTATAATCTAATTACATTCACCACTCACCTCGTGTCCGCATCTGGGATCGCATTGCAGAGCCTTGGTGAGCCTCTGGTACGGCGGTGTGGTATTGGGACACTTTGGCACGGACGCTGTTGGCTCTATTAAATCACCGTGGGTATCCACGACGGCTGTTTTTTATTGAAGATGTCCCGTGTAGTTTGAATGACGTCTTTAGTATTTTTTCGATTTTTCTCTCTTTCACAATTTAAATCAATGCCTTGCCGGATGCAGGAGACACCTTTCAAATGGATTGCGATTGATATGGCCGATGTTGTTGCAATAAATAACTGACATAAATTCAAACATGCGTTGCGATTTTGAAAATGTATTAAAATATGTGTTTTTCGTTCCTCTCTCTCTCTCTCTCTCTCTCTCTTTGGCTTTTCTTGAGGTATTTTATTGCCAATGTTTTTTATTTCTTTTTTTCTTCTAGCCTTTGGTTTATGGGTTAGTATGCTTTTGACTTTGGCCTTTATGGGGCGAGCATAACTTTAAAGGTGATTTTTTTTGTTGGCTTTTCGGCTAAATGCCTTCTGTTTGAGGGCTGATAAAAATTATTGCTGCGGATATACGTCTCCCCACACACTCTCACACACTTCTAAAACGCCACAGCAGATTTAAACTCTTTCTTTTTTCGGTTTTCTTTTCTACTCCTCACCTTCTGCTTCTTATTTACAGCAGATTTTCTTTGGTTGCGACTAGAAGCACATTAAATATCCTGTTTTATTGCCTCCATACAATTACAGAACCAGAAGTGTGGGAACAAGCAGTGATATGGCTGCCGTAATCCTTGCTGATGGATTTTTATGTTTATTTCCTGTTTTTATATTTTTTCTAGACAATGTTCAATTTCTCTCCTTGCTGTTGTAGGTGTTGTTTTTGTTGTGATACTTTTGTAGGGAATTGCTTCTATTAACCTTTTATGTCTTCATTTAATAGCTGAAATGAGATATAAAGAAACATAAAAAAATTGTTACTTTTTAATTCAACACTTTTAACATTTTAAACGGAGCAATAATATAATGATCTAAGACTAATGGAATGAAATTCATGAAATTTCTAGGAGCATCCATTTGAGGCATATTTTTGATTAGGCCAATTGTAATTTTTTTAATTTTTTTCTTTTAAAGGCATAGTTTTCGTGGAAATTTTTAAAGTATTTTTCAGGACGAATTAAATTTTTTCGAGAAAAATTTTTTTTGGACCTTTAGGACTATAATCTTTAAATCTGTATAATATTCGTCAGGACATTTCTTAATTTTTGTAACACTTTCAAGGACATATGAGTGTTTTTTGGAACATTTTTAGACCCAAGGTCTGGTGTTAAGATGGACAATATCGGTCCACTCCTTCTGGTACCTCCCACACAAAATGTCAAAATTTTCAAAATATATATTTTCTGCACAGAAAGAAAAATGATAATCCGATTTTGCTCCAACATTGCAAATCCTAATATTTCTATCAGTGCTACGTCAGGTGCGAAAATGGACAACATCGGTTCACTCCATCAAGTACCTTCCGCACAAAGGATATGAAATGGCAAATATTGTACATCTGTCGGCAAAACCTACAGATAATCTTTAACTTGTTTTTAATTTTAATCGAAATTTTTAAAAATATTTGAAGGCTTTAATTCTGAATGTCAAGATCATTTTTAAAGACTATCTGGTTTTTATGAATATTTTTTCGAAGTATTATCTCTAATTATACCCTACACCACAAAGTGGTAAGGGTATTATGTCCTTGTAAATTTGTTTATAACATGGAGAAAGAGGCGAGATAGACCCCTAGTTACTTTTGAGGATCTTCATAGAATCACTTTTTGAGTCGATTCATACATGTCAGTCAGTCTGTCTGTCCGTCCTTCTATCCATGTATTTTTGTGAATAAAATGCAGGTCGCATTTATTATCCGATTGAGATGCATTTTTTCAAGCAGGTTTTGTTTGTCCTAAGGACAAACCCTATTGAAATTGGTGAACATTGGTTCCAATTTAGAAATAGCTCTCATGTGTATCTTCAACCAATATCAGTCCAAATGATCTGGCACATCCGACCGAATTCGGTCTAGCAGCAAGTACTTCAAATTTGGAGGAAATCGGTTCAGATATAGCTATAGCTCTTATATATATGTTTCATCCAATTTGGGGTTTCATGTCCCTCACATGAGTAATATGCACCCCCAAGAATGATATTTGGTACCAGATAACTTATGAAGCTAGAAATACCTCTGTCAAATTTTGTCGAGATCGGATCAGATTTGGATATAGCTCCCATATATATGTTTATCCGATATCAGGTTTATTGTGCACCATATGGCTAATATCAGCCCAAATGAACTGAATTTTGGCAATTCCGACTGAATTCATCCTGCAAACAAGTACTCACATGCGTAATATGCACTCCACAACAATGATCTTTGGTACCAAAAATCAGAAACAAGTGCCTAAAATTGTGTCAAGATCGGTCCAGATTTGTATACAGCTCCCATATATATCTTTATCTGATTTTAGATTTTTCGTGTACCAGATGGCTAATATTAGCCCAAATGGAGTGAATTGTGGCACATCCGAACGTATTCAGTCTAGAGGCAAATTCATCAAATTAGGAAAAAATCTGTTCAGATATAGCTGTAGCTCCCATATATATGTTTCAGCCGATTTGGAGTTTTCAATCTCTCACATGCTAATATGCACTCCACAACAAGGATATTTGATACCGGACATCAGATATAGCTTGTAAATACCTTTGCCAAATTTTATCGAGATCAGTTCAGATTTTTATGTTGCTTCAATATACATCTTCATTCGATTTTACGGTTATTGCTCTCCTTATATGTTATATCACCCAAATTGAATAGATTTTTTCAGATTCAACCGATTCTTACCATTTGGTAAAACTCGGTCCGGTATTTCTTCCAATAAATATTGTATAATATAATCCTTATCGAAGTCATATCATGCACTATACTGCAATATCATTTGGTTCATAGGTGGTATCATCTACTTCACATAAATTGTCAATATACTCTACTAAATACGCATAGTAGTGTAGGGTATCATATAGTCGGCCCGAATATATTTTACAAGGATATTCAGGAATATTTGGAAATATATTTCAAGCGGAATGTATTTTTTTGTATTTTTTTTCGGACCTATAATTGTGAATTAAAAAAATGTAGGATACACATGGTTTTTTATACCCTCAGCCATATGGCTAGAAAAGTATATATGATTTGATACGGACAAAACGTGCCTAGTCAAAATAACGGTTTTAGACCCTAGGTGTCTTTGGACCAAATCGATTTCAGTGCATTTGGATTCGAAATTGGATTCCCCCACAAAAGTTCGAAATTAAAAAAAAAAAAACTATTTTCTGCACAGAAAGAGAAATGATAATCCGATTTTGCTTCAACTTTTGCAAATCCTAATATTTGCATAAGAGTTAAGTCAGGTGCGAAGATGGACAATACCGGTTCAATCTATCTAGTACCTCCCCCTCCAAAGGGTAATCATTTTGAATAATTGTAACTCTTATAAGATGTAAAATAAGGGTACGATTGTCTTCAAATTACACACATCACAATATTTTTATCAACCCAAAGTCTGGTATGAAGATGGAATATATCGGTTCACTCCTTCGGGTACCTCCCACACAAAGGATCAAAATTTTTAATGTCCCTGAAGCTCATAAAACGCCAAATTAACATCCGATTCCATTCAAACTTGATACGTTTCAATATTTCTATCAAAGGGTCAAAATTTTGAATAATTATATATCTTATAAAATGCGATGTGAGAGTCCTATTGTCTTCAAATTACACACTTGCCATTATTTCTATTAACACACGATCAGCTGCAAAAATAGGATACAGGGATCCACTGCTTCTGGTACCTCTCTCCCAATGGGTCAACAATTTTATACATCCATGAAGGTCATAAATCGCAAAATTAATATCCATGAAGACTTGCAACATCTAAATATTCCCATTAACTCAAAATCTATTATAAAGATGGTAAAGATCGGACCATTTCTTCTGATACCTCCTCCACAAAATTTCAAAAATTTTCAAAATTTTTGAAAAACAAAATGCTCAAAGATAGCGATAGTAGCATCCAAAGCGATTTTCACAAATACAAACATTTTTGCTAATACAAGATCTGCAGTAAAGATGATATATCTCTGCGAAACCCTTCCGGTACCTCACCCACATAGCTTCACAATTTTTAATACTTTTATTTATCATAACAAATATTGCCCATATCATAATTTTTATATGTATTAGATGATGCATGCACATGGAATAATCATAACAGAAGTCAAAATATATTGAAATAATCGAGCCTTGGTTGGGGGTATACATCTGTAGGTAAATCCGGCTGACATTTTCTGACTTGTTTTCTTAAAACTGGTCTGTTAGTCTTTGAAAAATATTTCTTTAAAAATCCAAGTTTGTTGGTCCTTCAGAATATATTCTGAATAATCCGCAGTTTTTAGTTTGGTGATCCTTAAAGAATATTCTATGATTATAAATGTTCTAGTCCTAGAAATGTCGTACTTGAGTACATACAAAACTATTGGACTGCTTGTTCTTAAAAAAATTAAATTAAAATTTAAATTCGTACCAAACGGGTACAAAAAGTACTAAAATGTACTAAAAATTTAATATTTTGATATTAAATTTAATATTTTAATAATTTTTGTTGGATATTGTGATTGAAATTAGCAACACATAGGTCACTTAAAGTGATTCCTATTAATAATATTTTGCAAGAAAATTCAAGTCTTTAAAAGTGGTTTCTGCCAAAAATATTTATTAAGGACATTTAGGTCTCTACACGTCGATACAACTTTGTAAGGATATTTGCTTTTTTTTTAAATAATTTTAAAAGAAGGTAAGGACGTTTAGGTCTTTAAACGTGGGTTTATAGATAATATATTTTAAAGGGTACACATCACTCAAAAGGTGGATTTTTCATAATATTTTTAAATAACTTCAAAAAGTTTTTCTCCAAAACATCGTAAGTAGATAAAGGGCTTTGAAAACCTTTTTTTTTCAAAGATAACCTGGGACTTCCAGACTATAGACTGTTTTTTTGCGAACATATTTTCAAGGACCTTCAGACCAATTATCGCGATTATGAGAGAACATTTCTTCACAAGACATTTGCAATTATAGGCTTGGTTTTTTACATTTTTTTAAAGACAACTTGCAAATCCCAGGCCAAAAATTATTTTTTTTTTGCGAACATATTTTCAAGGACTTTCAGACTAATTATCGTGATTATTTGAGAACATTTCTTCAAAGGACATTTCCAATTATAGACTTGGTATGTTAATAATATATTTTGAAAAGACAGCCTTTTTAGGACTTTAAGGATTATTATTTCAACTTCAACTTCCTAGTAGTTTTTTGTTCCCTTGAATCCTTTAGTTCTTATTTTTGTTGCTGAGTAGTCTGATTATCATGTCCTCTTTAAGTTTTTTTATTCTTCAAAAAAAAAAAAAAAAATCTGTGTTGTTGACCCCTTCAATTGCCGAGAGTCTTTCTACAAATTTCCAATCAACTCCGATGACAATAATGAGGGAGAAAAATGTGTTGCATGGGGGAGAACAAAAAAAAAAAACAAGTCCTTATCACAAAACAAGGATAATCAACTTCAAATTTGATAATGTTTTGTGTGTGTGTGTGGATCCGACTTCATTTGTTGCAAAGGTTGTTGGCTCGAGTTGATTTAATTGATTTGGCAAATTAAAACATGACCAGCATTAATTGAGGGGAAAGGAAGAGAGGGAGAAAGAGAGAGAAAAAAGGATTCCTTATTTTTTAGCTAATGAATAGGAGGGTGAGCAAATTAATCAGGACCTTTGTAAATCGAATAATGCCCTTAGAATCCTGTTTTTTGCTGCAGCTGTTGTTTATTTTCCGCTTGGC